CTTTAGATTCTAAAACATTTACTTATAAGATCAAGGATTCCTGGATTGAAATTTTGATTGCTAACACTAATGGCATATCTTATTTATTTTAAAATGGTCTCAATAAAAGTGGCATATTACTAACATTGTCAGAAGCAATTCTGGTCTTATAATACTCATACCCAGAGTTGAATTGCTTGAATTATAACATCTTTATCTCTTTTACATCTAGTAAAAACTTCACAAAATGGACACTTGCTTGTATTATGTCATTTTTACCCATGGGAAAAGAAAAACTTGAAGCAAGGAGATAACTTTCTAAGAATCCTGTTGCTACTGAGTGGTAATAAGCAATGAGATACACTTCACAGACAGAAAGTGGCACCATGCTAATTCTCTTTGTAAGTTCATTCCATAAACTGATGCTTAAAGAAGTGAAAAACAATAATCTATATGAATACTGTTAAAGTTGGAGACCATAGGGAAAGAAATAAGTAGGCATGATATATGTTCTATCATGCTAGACATTTCTTGCAACATGTAAGATTATTTAAGAATTTTTGCATATGAAAGATAGATATTTTTCAGGAATTATGTAGAGGTGTAAATTTTGCCCCCCACTGATTTTTTCTAATTTTAGGCTATGGAGTTCATATCTATCTATCTATCTCTCTCTCTCTATATATATATAGATATATATATACATTCCTCAACAAAAACGACACACAACACATTGAAGCATACAAGCTATTATATATTTCCATAATATAGAACTTTAAGGTATAGTAATCAACAGTGGCAAAATATTTCTGTCTTTGACATCATTTTGTAAGATCCAACCTGTAATTGAGACCAGAGAAAACAGTATGGAAAAACAAATCCATAAGAATAGGATAAAAAATACCATGAACCGCAAAATATGTCTGAGTATTTAAAACCATATAGAAAAAATAAATTAGATGAACCATTGTGTAAATATAAATTAAAAAAGATGAAATTCTTAATAAATAAAGTTTACTATTTACATTTTTAATATATTGCTGAAGACTTAACTTAGATCCATAAAAACACATGAACAGGGGAAAAAACCCAAAATAGGAGCAGCAAATTTATGCAAGTGAGGTACAGAAAAAGAACTGGAGTGTTTTGGTTTGGTGTTGAGACTGTTTTTGCTTGGTTTTGGTGTTTTTTTTTCTTTTTTTTTTTTTTTTTTGCCAGTAGAATTCTCATGAGAGCAGATTTTTTTTTGTAAGCACTTCAATGGAGAGTCGATTTTGGTAGCTTCCAGAAAGGTGCCAAACAGCTTTCAACATCATAATAATTAGAAATACCCATGATAGTTATAACAATAATAAAAAGGCATAATAGGATACATAAATATGGAAGAGCAGTTTGTAATATGAATACATTTTTCTCTAACGAGATCACAGTTTTATTTTGTAAATATTACATTTAAGTATATATATACACACATATATGTACAACTATATATACATGTGCATATATATGTAAATTTATATTTATATATAATATCTTTATATAGATAGATATCTGCAGACAGGTTATTGATTATAGAGACCCAAGAAAGCAACTCAGTAATTGTCCGAAATAATTCTCCTCACTGACTGCTGGTGTGTAGTTACGAGGTCCCGAGTTGTTGGCACTCAGAACACAGTTGTCTCCTTTGAATGAAACACTTGATGTGGACAGTTAAGTCTGAGAAAGTGAGTAGTTTGCTAAAGAAGAGACACTAGCGGCTCCCTTCCTCGGTGAGTTAGGTAATGGTCTGGAAGTCTTGAATAGATGACAGTACACTGACTTTTACACTGTAAGAAGTAATTGGCTTTTAATCAAATCATTGAACAGGTAAAGGTCAGCAGAAGGGATGTGGGTGGGGTGAGGTGGGGACTCAAAATTTACCTAAAATGGAGTGAACTATTCCCCAGTGCTCTCTCTTAATGTGGACTCTAGCACAGGATTTTCAGCTTTATGTTCAGAAATATCAAACACACACTCTTCATCTTTCTTAAAAGGCCAATGGGTCCACACATGCTTGAAGACTAACCGGTGGCATTCCTATCAGTCTTCTACACTATTGGCCACAGCCAATTTAAACTTCAGGGCCTCACAAACCTCTGCCCTCCCGCGGTGAGGTAGGTAAGTACTAAGTATCCCCATTTTGCAGCTAGAGAAATGGAGGCAAATGTAGAGACACAAGATAACATATTCAAAAATCACTGAACATATGAGTGCCTGGAGTGAAGAGTTGTAGAATTATATCCCACGGACCTAATTTCTCCTTGCTGATTATACATTTCTCTTACAAGCAAATGAGTAGGAGGAATTGGGCAAAGCCTAAATAAATTACAAGAATGGGCTTTTTATTCATTTGCTATTTTGCCTCTTTTTTCCATGTCTGTGGTAAACTGGATTGGTCTTGCTTTTCCAAAGACTCACTGGAGTGACCTGTCTGGACATGCAGCAGCTTTTGAGGAGACTGGGCTGTGAGGTGTAGTTCTAAGCACAGACCCTGAAGTCCAGTGCTATACTGGGCAATGCAAATGTCTTGTATTGTGAAAAGCACACCACCACCATCACAATAGGTTCCATTAACATTTGGTAAAACCAACGTCGAGCCCTCCCCACTCCCCATTCCCACCAATGGCCACCAAGCAAATGAACAAAATGACCCCCCCGCAACAAGAACAAAACAAGAGGAATGCCATATTTCCTGGATCTACCCCCAATGTATAGAAAATAACAGTGTTACGAAATACCACTCTATAGCTTCTAGGGAATTTTTTTATGCTCTATCTATCTAATCAGTCTGTATAATAAACAATTTCCTTTAGGAAACATAAAAATAGCGTTTTTATTCTGTGTAATCATGCATTTGTATCTCCTTTTTAAGTTCGCTGTCTTCTATTAATTTCTATCTGTACACTTTTTGTCTCCATTGACTTCTTCTATTTATTTTCTCACTTGAAGTAGTTCCAGAAATTAAAAAAGAAAAGAAAACAACACAAAACAAAACCTCAAAATGGTTAGTATGACATTAGGGTTTCTTTCTTTCCTTTTTGTTTCTTTGTCTCTTCCTTTCCTTTTTTCTTTCCTTTTCTATTTCTCTCTCTCTCTCTTTTCTATTTCTTGCTTTTTAAGGAAAAAAAAAAAGAAAAAAACCACCAACACAGGTAAGACCTATAACAAACTGACAGTTACAACCAAGTTAAATTGAACCTGGAAGGGAGGTAGCTGAAATCTGTCTTACGAAATTATTTTCAACAAATAGCATTTAAGCAACAGCCAAGGTGGGAAAAAGACCAAGAGAACTGTCTCGGCAGTGACCCAGTATACTGAAGCCAAGAGCAGCAGCTGATACCCTCCGTCTCCAAAGGCCTGCTATTTATGACCGTTAATCTCTCCCTTCCTTTACACCTCAATTCACCCACCCAAACTGACTACCTGAGGACTGGATTCCCTTACAAGGTTGTTGGCACAGAATCTAGGGATAATGTAAGTCCCCTGGACAGGCAGTTAGGTTGTGGCTTCGAAAGGCTTCCTAGGATAGGTCTTAGAGAACTGTCCCCTCGTCTTTGCCTCCTTGCTGTGAACAGCCTAATACTTTTTCCAATGCAGAACCCACAGGTGTTTTACAGTCCTTGGCCTGCGAATACACAGCAGTACGTGACCACATCCTCAGTAGTACCTCATTGTCCTAACAGATGACTGAAAGGCTGTGATGAGGAGTTTATGCACCCCCCTCCCCTGCAAGGGAGGGGAGAATTGGGAATTGGTACATTGCATGGACAGAGCTGACCCTGCTCCTCTAAGGCTGGAGGGGAGCCTATTAATTATACTTTTCACATGGGCATGTGATTGGCCACCAGTCAAGTAGCCCCTTTTGCCTAATGTCCTTGGCAGGTATTGAATTTGTTAATAACTGGATTGAATGATAATTTTAAAAAGAGACTGAATGGGTTTTACGCAGATGAGCTCAATTCAGTTTGCCAATCTGAAGAAAGATGTCAGCCTCCAGGAACTTTTGCTTAACTGGAGGGTATTGTGAAGGATAATAGAGTGCAGGCAGAAATGGGATGACCACTGACTTGGGGGAAGTTGTGATTCCTGTCCTCTGGCTATTAATAATATCATCTGTCCATCTCCAGAGTGTTTTTGTCTCACTTTTGAGTGTAATTAAACCACCAGGAATGCAGTCCTGTTGCTGTCCTTAGCTTCTATCTTCTGAGCTAAACACCACACAGCTGGATAACTCACCTAGGGCAACAGAGGGAGCTTAAGAGTAGGAGTTCTAAGATGAGGGATAAACTTTACACAACAGGGTCTACTTTCCTAAGATTGTTCTCTCTCAGTATTTTTTGTTTCTTTGTTTGCTTTGTTGAAGACTGGCCCCAGTGATTACAGGAAAAATAAAAATCTCTGGCTATACATGTGACGTGGCTTTATAAGGAGGAACCATGAAGGATTTGAGTTTGGTCTTCATGATGGTGGGCACCCCTCTTTTTCAGAAGCCAATTTCAGAGTCTGTTACATGGGAAAAGTCACGAACCCTAAGTAGCATCCTTATGTATGGGCATCTGTGCGAAAAGCACCTGATAGATTTCTTAATATAGCAGACCACAGATGACCAAGAGATGCCTTTTCAAGTGTTTGTGATCAGCAGGAAAAAGCTGTTGGGAATGATAGATGAAGACAGTTTCAGAAGTTATTTTTGGTCCCAGTAAGAGAAAGGGCTGTGATGGATTAGTGATACCTGTTCCAGATGCAGGAATTAGAAGAAGCTAAACATGGGCCTAGATTTCACTTTTTTTTTTTTTTGGTCAGTCATGGGGCTTGAATCTGGGCCTGGGCGCTGTCCTTCCCTAAGCTCTTCAGCTCAAGGTGACTGCTCTACCACTTGAGCCACAGTGCCACTTCTGGTTTTCTGGTGGTTAATTGGAGATAAGAATTTCATGGCTTTTCTTGCCTGGACTGACTTTGAATTGTGATCCTCAGATCTCAGCCTCTTGAGTAGCCAGGGTTACAGGCTTGAGCCACTGGCACCCGGCTAGATTGCACTTTTGCTGGTTGTCTTCACTGGACTTGAGATCACTTGAGTTAGGGACATATTTATATGATATAATTCATTTAGACCATCCCTATCTTTTTACTTCCCAGTTCTAGGTTTCAGAAAATATATCGAACCACTCTCTTCACCTCATTCTGTATTAATCCCTTCCCATATTCAATTCAAAGGGAGTGAACATGTAATTGATTGAAAAGTGGCAAAGAGGCTCTAAAAAGTTGGGGGCTTCCATAAGCAATTGACTGATTATTTCTTAACCTTTGGAGAAGGAAGGGTTTTCTGGCCACAGGTATGGAAAAGAGTACTGGTGGATAAAACATTCTATGGAAAACATAAGACTATGTTGGATACTGAGGCTGTGATCTCTGGGCTACCTTCTGGAACGAAGTCTACACTGATCCTATCCAAAATGATACTCTGTTCTAGAATTATATCTACTGTGAACAACAGTGAGGATCTTACTACCCATTCTAGCCTAGAGAGCTAGGAAGACTAGGATAGGGATAACAACCCAAGAGTTTGGACATTTCCAACAGCCCCTGCATGGCTGAAACATTAACACTGTTCCACTTGATTACAAAAATCTAACACTGGCTTAGACATTCTGGACTCTCAGGAAGGACTCCAGCATCTGAGTTTCCTCCACTCCCTTCCAGGATGAGAAGCCCATTCAGGGTGGGGATTTAACTTTTTACCAGGTGGACCCATGAGGGTGGTAGTCTTGCCGAAAGGGTAAGAAATGAGGAACTATGGGGAAATGTGGGTCACTTTTAAGGCAGACTGTTTGGTTGTGTGGAAGTTCTCCTAACCTAGTTCTACCATCTTGGAGTTACCCAATGTATATGATAGAGCAGCAGAAAAAGTAGCAGCAAATGTAGTCCCAAGGCTAGATCTGGGGAATGGTGAGATGTGGAGGGATATTATGACCTCAAGTCTCCAGCAGGGGTCTGATATAATACCTTGAATTTGTAGTCCTAACCATTTCCAGCTTGGCCTTGAACCCTGGTGTTGGGGCAAAAACCCCATGGCAGCAGAAGAATCTGGGAGCATTGCAAACCTTGGAATCTTTACTTCTCCCTGGGCCCTAGTTCTCTAAAATTTGGTGAACACAGGCCACTTCACTTCCAATCCCCAAAGACACACAATCGTGCATGCCCTGCTTATTCTAAGCCTCAGAGTGTGAGCTATCTTGGTCCTAGCAGTTTCTGTAACTCTCTTTCTCCCAAGGACAGTGTTGGTTTGGAGCTTGGGAAAGGAAAGATTGAGTTTCTCCCAGTCTCTCTCTTTCTCTCTCCCTCTCCTCTCTCTCCTCAGTCTCCAGAACTTCTCTCACACAGATGTTTATATGGGTGTGTATGCATGCACGTTGTGTACTAACCACAGATGTGCATACTCCTAGATACAGAAGGTGTTTTGTCATGTGACAAATGATTAGCATTTGGAGGAGGCTCTGGAACTGCACGCAGATTTGCATTGCCTATGGCAATCCATTTCAGAACGTTGGGATGGAATTCCATTCCATCATTCAACAGGATGCGACTTGGTTCATTCGCCCCACCGTGAGTCCTTCCTGGGTGAAATTAAAGGCAGACTGGTTGGGTTGCTAAGGATCCCTGGTGTGGAGAGGCCATTCCATTGAGCAGCGGACTGTGAAAACAATACCAAAGGGATGTGGGTCCTGGCACTGGGAATTCTTTCACACTTCTTGTCCTGCTTTAGCCATGACTGTATCCCCGAAGGTCTTTTCTGCTATGTTCTTGGGCCTCAGGGTCCCGACAAGCACAGTCTTCTTGTAGGTCACAGGACATAGGGAAGGGGGTGACCTGTGGGGAGATAAACAGAAGTTGTGTATCAGGAAGTTTGATCTAATGCAGGACTTAGTGTGACAAAGCATAGGGGAGAGGGGTTAAGCCCTGGATTTGTGAAACAGGAAATTCAAGGTCAGTTCAAGCGCTGCTTCTTGTTAGCATGAGGGTCGCTTTTATCAAGTACTTGTCATGCCAGTTTCTTCCACTTGGGCATTTATTATGGGTCTGTGGGGCAGTATGCAGAATAATTTCCAGGTCAGAAACTATTGAGTCCCTTTTACAACTCTGTTAAAAAAAAAAAAAAAGCTCTACCACAAACATCACTTTGTTGTAAAGAAAAATGAGGCTGAGAGAGGAATAGGCATTACCACCAAGTAAGATGCGAAACATTCCTTCCTTAAAGATAAGCTGCTTTTCTCTGAAACTCAGAGAGGACTGGTTGTAATAAAAAAAAAAAAAAAAAAAAAAGGACTGGACACAGCAAGGATAAAAACTGGGTGAATAATCGCAACATACTCTACCAAGTTGATGAATTCTACCACGAATTACCTCACATATAGGTCTATCATGATGATCAACTACAATAGAGGAAAGCATCTTTTAAGAAAACAGCTTTCTGTACATATAGAGTTGTTTGGGTTTGGGGGAACAATGATTTCAAATCTTGCCTCAGGAAAACTGAAATTACCATCCATTGAATCTGAAATGTACAAATAGATTTTGAACAAAAGTTTCTGAAGAGCCTCAGAAACATCTTAGACTGAGGAAGGGGGAGAGGAAGAAGAAAGGATGGGGAAAGAGGAGGGAAGGAAAAAGGGAAGGTATGAATGGGAAGAGAAGGAGGGAGAGGGAGAGAAAGAGAAAGAGAGTTGTGCTGTTTCTGAGTTCATCCTTCCATGTACTCTGTGACCCTGGGCTGGCTTGCCTTTCTAGAAAATGATAGGAAAAACTCCACAGAACAAGTGTCTTCTCCTTACAGCAAATGATTCGCCTTCTCAAACAGTGCAGGGCAGTCCCTGCTGATTCCCAGCCTAAACTAACGCAAGTCCATTTCACCTGATTGCATCATGACATTTGCTTGTAACATTCCCCAGAGGGTCCCCCATCTGCGCAGATGGATTTAATGACCTCATTTGCCTCCTGCCTGGACAGGGTCTCCAAGTGATCACAGAGTCTCTGAGAGCATCTCTGTTTCTCTCCCTCACTCTCATGTATTTGTGAATTCATTCTCTGTATCTGGTTCTTTTAACTTTTCTCTGCTTCTTTGCCCTACCTCTTTGTCTACCTTTTCCCTTCTCTCTTTCTCTCCCCAACCCTAGTTCCCAGCCTCTCACTATCCTAACATCTTGCAATGATTTAAGATGTAGGGCTAAATGTCAGGAAGATTTTAGTATAAAGCCTGGTTTTTCCACCAACTTGAAGGGTGACCTTGAACATCAGCAATTTTCGGAACCTTTTCAAACTCATTCATTAAATGAGAGCAATGAAAGCATAGACCTATACTTTCTGACACTGCAGTGAGGGATATATGAAATACCTCATAAAAACACCTGGTACTGTGTTTGACATAATCTAAGTGCCAAATTCTATATGTAAATATATACATGCACACTAAATCTTTTCCAAACATCTACACACAATCTTCCTGTGTCTCTCTCTGTTTCTGTTCTTCTCTGTCTCTCATTATCTCTTTCCTCTCCTCTTCTCCTCTCATCTCTTTTACCATCAATTCAATAGCTACTGATACAGAGACCATACCAGTCTTATTGGTTTTTGCTTTCCTTGAGTCTTAAGTCACAGAAAGAACATATTTCTATCCACTTCTCCATTTTTTTTTACATCTAAGAAGCCACTTTGCTTCTTTTTTCCGTTTGAATTAATATGCAATGCTAAGCAGTTTTGTTTCTTTTCCCATGCAATGCTTCTCTTTTTGTTTACAACTACTTGCTCTTCTCAGTTCAGGACATTTACTCTCCAGCTGCCAAGATTTTGCAGAATAAATCTACAAGGGTTAGAATCTAGACTCTAGAGTATTCTTCCATAACCTCTAGAGTTGTTTCTCCACAACCTCTTCATTTTCAAGGAAAATAAAGAGTGTTATAATTGGAAGATGCATAGAAAGAAAAAGCCTACAGCCCAAATGGGGAAACTGAGGTCAGAGCCAAGTCAAACTCTCCTAGCTAAGTTAACATGTGGAGAATGACATCCTGGGCTGGATCCCACTTGCCTCAGACTGAGTGAATAATTCTGGGAAATTTTCTTCACGGCTATGGCCCTGAGTTTCCACATCTATAAATGGGAAATTCAAAAGAAAATGTTATCTTTCATATGGTTCTGAGGACTGAACAAAATAGAAATACACAGAAGCTTCTGCACATGGTCCAACACGTAGGAGATGCTCAAGGCTGAATACATATGTGCTGAATCAGATCTCTCTGTCTGACTCATATTTCACCATCTTCCCTGCCTATTACCCCTTTTAGCCCAGCTCCCATACTTGGACAACCTCTTTGTCCTCAAGTCACCCATCCCTTTATCTGTCCCCTTCTGCTCTTGTCTTATTCTACTATTACAAAGATCTAGTTACCAATATCATCTTTTGTATAACCCTGTAACTCAATTCTTTCCTCTTCAGCTCTAAGACCCTTTATGATAACTTCACATTTCCATCTCACACAGGCAAATATTCAGCAAATTCTGTTACTTAGAAGGGACTCCACAAGTTCAAGGTTTTGTATCATCTGATCTCTATGTAATTCCCATAGTTTGCTTTGTATCATCCCCTCCCCAGTTACCAACTCTCTGTGTGGCTTGTTTGTTAATTTTCCTGTTCCTAAAGTATTCCAAATGAATTCTTATTTTAAAATCTTTACCCACGTATCTTCTTCTGTTCTAGCTGCTCTTCCTTGGCCAGCTCCTTTTCATTCTTTAGGTCTTATCTCAAGTATCACCTCTTTCCTCATTAGCCTGGAGAAAGTTGGTACCATCACCTTGATACCATATCAGTGCACCCTATTTTTACACCCTTCTCATGAAAGGCATACTGAATCACATGCATGCCAGCATAGTTTCGGAAGGGACCAGGTCTACTGTTGAACTTTATCTCTACCAAGTCACAGCAGTCAGTAGGGCCATGAATTGGATGAAAAGATGAATGTATGAACAGACAGACAATATGAGTCAAGGAGTCTCTGTTCTTGCACTCACTGGCTGGGTGACTTTGTACAAGTTATTTCCCGTCTTTGGACTTCAGTTTTCCTATATGTATAATAAGAATTGTAGTTATTTATGGCCTCTTAACTTTTCATCTGCCTGAAATCCTTCTCAGTGTGGGAAAGATAGAAGGCAAAGATAGGCTCAGAAAAGAATTAGGGGTATGTGCATGTATGTTTGTGTGATGTGTGTGTGTGTGTGTGTGTGTGTGTGTGTGTGTGTGTGTGTGTGTGTGTGTGTGTGTGTGTGTGTGTGTGTGTTTTACTGGGTATCAAACCCAGAGAATTAATAAATACCTGATAGGCAAGTGATCTGTGACTGAACTACCTCCCACCATCCTAAGGGTTATAAACATAAGACTTTCCCCACTTTCTCCCTTCTAAAATGTATTAACTTTTCTAAAACATTAGCTTGCAAGTCCTGGGATTAGTTAGCTTCTCATGCTAATCTGGCTGCTCTGGTTACAATGGAATTGTGTTACAATTGTTATCCTCCTCAGAGAAACTCAGGAAGGTTTAGCGTTTCCCAAAGGAAACACATTTGGGAACTAAAAGAACCCAATCTGAATATAGTAAAGTCTAGATGGCAAATACACTGACTTCTAGTCTCCATCATATGCCTGTAGGTGTTAGCTATGTTTACTGAGCACTAGCTAGAAGTTGTAGTCTGCACGTTACACATTGCAGGAATCTCAGCAAGCCTCTACCACACTGTGGACCCAACCCCTATCTGTGAGATAGATTTTCTCACAAAGGCCTCACCGGATGTGGTGATGAGTCAATGCAATCAGCTTGGCTCTAAAAAAGCTCCTATTTTTCTCAAAACAGAGGAGATACATAGAGATGTGTGTACCTTTGTTTTGCTTCTTTGTGAGGTACCCAGGATATCCCTTACTGACTGGGGTTTTAAAGCTAGGAGACAAGATTGAGGAGTACATGCTTTGATTTAGATGAGGCCTGAGGATGTCTGTTCAAGAAGGTTCAAGCTGTGAACACTACCGTGTGCACAAGCTAATCATGCACTACCATGTGCACAAGCCTTCCACATGCTAGATGATATTCCAATCTTGGAAGGCTATCATTACTAGCTGCTCACCTCGAAGGCAAGAAAACTGAGGCTTCACAATGTTTAAAGCAAAAACAAACTTGCTTTGGGCCACAGCAACAATCAGTGAGTTGATGGTGTAAGATCCTAAACCCCATTCTAAATACTTAAGAGTGGAAGGCACAAGAAGGCACTTCCTTCACAACCGGTCAGGGCTCATGGATATTCTTGTCTTCTCATCCCTTGTCTTCTTTATCCCTTATGGTATGCCTGGCACTGAGCTAAACTCAATGTGCATGGTTTCACTCATACTCCCCAGCCATGCCAATAAGCCATCTACTCGTGATCCTCATTTTATACCTTAGAGGCAACTACATGTAAGATGGCGGGTCACTGAAGAGTAGGTGGTCTTGGATTTGCATCTGTGATTGTGAGCATTTCTTAGTCCCATCCCCCATAAAGCAGGAAGACCACAGGTATCTTCTCATCATAGAGGAAGAAACTGGGACATAGAGAGATGACTAATATGCCAATAGTCTGAGCTCTATGCTCGATTCTCAGATTCTCTGTCCAGGTATCTTCTCTCCCAGATGACTTCCCATGAAATCCTACCATGCACAGCTCAAACATCATTGTGGTTAGTGCACATTTGCAGATGCTTAGCACCATGAGGCTAGGCTATACCATAAGTGGTTTGGGGACCCACTCCACACTATGTGAACAAGGCAAAGTCAGTGACTCAACACGAAGGTTCCTTCCCTTTCCTTCTGGGCCAGAAATGGTGCTCAGACACAGGTTATCTCCCTTTAGGGAAGCTGCCCAAGACAACACCTCAATCTGTGGGTGTGTGCAGTGCAGGAATGCAGTCCAGGCAAATGTACATGTTTCTAGCTTGGGACTTGTCTAGGGCTGGGAGACAGGTAAGGGCTGGAATCTGAGTCAGACTCAACAAGAAGCAGTTGTGTGTGGGGTGTTGGTGTATGTATGTGTGTGTGTAACAAGAAGCATCCTGTGTTGATGTTAGAAACCTTTGGATCTACCACCTGCTGGCTATGGTACCTTGGAGAAATTACTTCACCTTCTTGAAATTGAGGGTCTTCACAGTATACATTGAAAATAATAGAGCCAACAGTTGAGGCTTGAAGTAATGAAATAGGAGGGCTTTTCTGTTATATGGGTAGGGTAGATACAGATAGGGCACTAAGCAATCAATATACAGTGATGTATTTAAATATGGATAAAGTGTCTGTGTGGATAAATGGAGGGTAAAGTGGAGGAAAATATATTATTTCACCTATAGGTGAAATGTAGAAAGGCACAGGGCTAGATAAGAAAGAGACTTGCCCTGTGGTTGACTGGAAGTATGCAAGTTTTATTTCCCTTGCTGGGCTTCAGTTTCTCTCTATGCAAAAATGGAGGTAATGAGTTCTACTGCATAGAATTAGTTCACATATTTCAAGAAAAGCATTTAGCGCAAAGTATACCCTACAACCAGAATTGAAGAAACGATGATGATGATTGTGGTGATTGTTGGTGATCATGATGATGGTTGTGCTGTTACTGGTGTTGTTATCTTCATGATGGAGTTATGGTACTGACAATGGTGATAGAAACTTGTCATTCTGAGATTGAAAAATTGGACTTGTTCATAAGATCAGACTACAAGGGACCAGCTCATCCAAGAAGTCATAAGAAGAGACCTTAGATATGAATTTAATGCACATATATGTGGTGTGGTAGTTAATGTCTATTAATCCCAGCACTTGGAAGGCTGAAGCAGAAGCTTGGCCTATATATGGAGTTCCAGGACAGTTTGGGCTACATCAAAACACTGTGTCCTAGGAAATGTAAAGAAAGAGATTTGCAGAGAGGAAGGAAGGGAGAGAAGGAGGGAAAGAGGGAAGAGGAGAGAGAAGAAACAGAGAAAACAAAGAAAAGAGAGGAAGAGAAGAAAGGGAGAGAAAAAAAAAGAGAAAATCCAAGGTGAGTTTGGCCTGCCCATGCTCACAGCACTAATGAGACAGGACTGTATTGTACTTCCTTCACAACTTCCAGAACCAGTATCTTAGCAACTTTAGCACTAGTACTAAAACTAGTGTTCCAGGCCACCACACCTTAGAAAGCCTCCATATGTTGAGGATGCTAAAGACATTTCCCTTTCCTGCTTCATACCCACAACACAGACTTGCTTAACAACAATTCCAATAACAAGTAGATAAAAGGAAATCATTATTGTTATAATAGGAAATAATAATAGCCATCATTGTTATAAAAGGAAATCATTGCGGGGGGTGGGGGGAACAATTCTGCAAATCTGCTCTTTATTAGAGGCAGCTTGGGGGTCCAGCAAGAAAATAACAATCCCATATCCTTAGAATCGGAATCCTGCCTCTTCCTGTCTGCCTCACACTGCAGGCAGGTGTCTAGGTGGGAAATTGGACACCCCTGTCAGACCGACTTTCCTGCATTGTTTTGCTCTTGTCTGCCAACTGGGCTCAGGTCATTCTGCAAGGCGGATGTGGGGCACCGCTGGTGACTACACAAACAGGGGAGAAAGAATGGAGTTAGTAGACAGACACTAGGCTGAGCCAAGTAACTCAGAGGCCATAGCCTGGGAGACCAAAAAGCAACTTAGGTGGAGAGTTGAAGAGAAGGAAGTCTGAGAAAAGGTGTTGAAGCTCACACCCAGGCCTGAAGTTCATGCCAAGAATTCCATTCCAGGAGACCTACAAAGCAAGAAGCTCACTTGCTACAAAGGGAGGTCAAGAGGTTTGGCCAAGACACAAGGCCATTGCAAGATCTTCAGAACTAGTGATGTATGGTTACAATTCCCTGGATCTCTGTCTAGGTAGCTTTGACCTTTCCCAGTCACAAGTTCATCATGTATTAAGTGAGGACAAAAAGATATAACCACAAAAGGGCAACTCTTTTGATGAAATGAAATCACATGTAATAGGGTTAAAAGTATGCTTGGCCAAGAGTAAGCTTTCAATGAATACCATGGTGACGTTTGGGAGGTAGGAAATCTTAACTCTCACACACACAGGTCAGTCACCTGGTGCTGCAAACGATTCCACTTCTCTCTAAATCTCAGCTTTCTACTTTGCTAGACTGTTCTGCAGTCTACATGAGACAATATGTATAGAGATCCAAGCCACAGCTCAGCATTCACATGGCAAGTGATGGAATTCTTGTGATTCAGGAGGAAACTTGAAGCATATCTTCTCCATGGATGAACACTCAGCCTAAGTGGTCAGAAGAAGGAAATTTCCCATGATGTGGGGATGGGGGCGACAGATAGGCGGGAAATAAACAGGTTTAATAGGTAAGAGAGGAAGGCTAAGAGAAAGAACAGCTCTCTTCCTCTCCCCTTAAGGGATTTCCTATAGTAGACATGAAACAGAATTTTCCCCCATCCTGCCCCGTGGCCATCCCAGGCCAACTATTGCTTGAGCTTCCTGGAATGTCAAGAGGAGAAAATGGCAAGGCTTAGTACCTCATCCACCTCCACTCCATCTTTGCTGCTGGGAATAGCTGCTTTCCTCTGCCATGAGGATGAGTCCCATTCCCAACTTCCCTGGCAGCCTTGGCTCACCCTGAAATGACTCCAGCTAGAATCAGAAGGGCCATACGCAGGAGAGAGAGGTGCCCCCTAGCCAGCAAGCTGGAGAGCTTGCAGGAGGCAGCGGGGAGGCTCTCCTGTCCACCCTGGCCTACCTTTTTAGTCTTCACCGTGGAGGTGCAGCAATCCCCACCATCATAGTTGCAGAAGGCTCGGTTGTTGATGGCATCACAGTAATTGTCTCCCATGAAGGGCTGTGAAGGGGGAGAGGTACAGGAAAGACATGAGGGAAGCTGCCCCAACACTTCATTGAGGCCACCATGGGCAGTTTGCCATTTCTCATCTTCTCATGAACCTCAATAGTCAGACTAGTTAGCTTCAAATCCCAGCACCCCCCATTGGATTCATGATTTATTTTTTTTACCATTTATAAAAACTTATCTGTCACATTTCTCCCAGCTGACATGTGGTTCTGTGGAGAGATGTACTCTTGTATGCTGGGGAATGCGAGGCCATTGAGTAGATCCTCTCCCCAGCACCTCTCCCTCCCCAGCCCGCCCACCAAACCAGGTCTTTGTGAGTATTCACCTTGAGTGTTCATTTTACTTGAAAAAAATGGTAAGAATATTTGATCCTACATCCCCTTCTTCTTGGCAGTGCAATCAAAAGATAATTTATACTAAAACACATGCCAATAAAGTAGGATGCTTACTGTAAACTGCACAAGAATTCTTAACATAGACTAGAACTCCTAGGAATTAAGTTCAAGAATATGTGTATTACTGGTAGATTCTCTAACAGAGGAATGAAGATGTACTGGATGTTACATGCCTTTACATACTTTCTTTTTCTCCAAACAAGGTTTGCATTATTATTGCTACCTTGCAGATGAGTAAGAAAAACACGTGGTTAAATCACATTGTGGGTAACACTGTGATCATGATGCATGGTACCCATAAACAGACCTGCTGAACTGAAGTCCTTTTGTGCAACTATTTGAAGATAATATAAAATTACATTGACAGTACAAAGAGTAGTTATTTGAACAAATTTAGCCCCATGTTTCTACAATTCCTCTTATTTACACAAGGACATTCTAGCTTACATTTCTTTCTTTCTTTCTTTCTTTCTTTCTTTCTTTCTTTCTTTCTTTCTTTCTTTCTTTCTCTCTCTCTCTCTCTCTCTTTCTTTCTTACCCCCCCTCTCTCTTTCCCGGTATTTGTCACTTTTCTGAGCATGCTTTGGCTCCATATGACTCAACTATTAGCTCTAATGTTAAGGAGGGAAGGAAAAGAGGCGAGCCACCTGCAAGAGCAAAGGCGATAAGCATCGCTGTCAGAGCTCAAAGCCTGACAGGTAAGGGTCACTGTGCCTTGCTGCTGAGTCAGAAGGATCAAATTTTGCTGTCATACTGGTTACCCAGACTGCTAGCTTAGCAGAATCAATGCCCAGGTAACTCAAGCTGCTTTTCTCCCAAACTACTGGACTGATCCAGAGAGATGGAAGGAAGCAACAGCTCTAAGACCTTGCCACTCCTGGTTGTATCGGGAATGAGTGGACTTTCTTAAGCCCTACATTGCTATGTACCCCAGAAGATGTCACACAGGGTCCTCACCCAACACGCAGAAATAAATGTGTGGCCCAGGGATTAGTCAAAACATTTATGCTCAAGGGGAAGAGATTACCTAGGAGAGGAGTAAAGACAGAAGCCTGGAAGTCAGGAGACCTGGGTTCATTGGCTCTGTAATTATCATGCTGTAAAAACTGTGAGCACTCTACTCCCTTTCTGGTCCTCATTTTCCAATTAAAAATAAAACTGCAAGTAGAACTAGAACATATTATAAGCCTTCCCACTTTTGGTATTCCATCACATTCTAGACCAGGCCACTGAGCCTCTGCTTACCCATCTGTAAAATAAGTGCTTAGCGTTAGATAAGCTGAAAGAATGTTTCTAGTTCTGACATCCTAAGGATTCTATTCCAATATGAACTTTTCTAAGGAGTGATCTGAATTTTCCTCCCTGGGCTCTGGTGGGGGAGCCGTAGAGATTTGACACACAAGGCTTTTGACACGCAAGGCATTTTGAGTGCAAGCGTATAGGGATGTAGAGAAATGCCTGTGAGTTCCATGGAGGGGCGGGGCATCCCTTGAGAACACAGCTGTATCCCAAGAACCTACACAGTGCCCGATGCCAAACTTGTCTCTGATCCCAGGGAATGGCTCAACAGAGAAATTACAGGGTCAGAAAGGATCTTTCACTTTGACTCCACGGTGGAGTTATTCAAATTATGTCTGAGTTAGAAAGGAGTGAACAATTAAGTTGTGGACAAAAGGAATCCATCTGCAGGTGATGTCATCATTACAATGGAATTAAAAAAAAAATCACCTCATGAGGTTCTAAATGTGGTAATGAGGGTAAAATTCCTGGCATATTATAGGTGCTAAATCAATATAGCCTCACTCCCTTCATCCTTTGCAGACCCACTATTACGTGGGCTCCAGGTGTTGGAGATAGAAAAGCTTGGTTTGGACTCTCAAACTCTGCTGTCAAATAGTTATATGCTTGTGTATGTATCCTCATAGCTCCCTGCCTCAGTGCTACCCCCTACAAAATGGACTTGCTGATCTCTCTCTAGGAAGGCTGCCAAATGAATATTTATAGTAATCAGTAGACATGGATGATGGCCATCATAAATATCACAACCACCACCTTGGAATGAACTCTGGGGATCTCTAGAGTTTGTCCTTGTAACTCACCTCACAGCCTTTGACACAGTGAATCACAGCAGGATGAGGATACCACTTCAGGCCAGCAGTGCAGACAATTCTCTGCAGAGAGATGGAGGGAGAAAGAGAGAGCAGAGAGAGAGAGAGAATGAGAGGTCAGATGAGTTTGGTTTGAGGAGGGAGCCAACCCTATGTTGGCATCACACCTAGCCTCTTTTTAGACCTTCCAAATTCTGACTTCACCCTGGTATTTACATGAAGAACTTGCCCAGGTACTTGCAATAACAGAAGCCATAAGATTAGAATAATATTTGTGTTCACCATATGCGTCATCATTCCCTAGTTCCCTGGCAGCAGAACGGGTGGAGGAGAAGCAAAATTGAGGGAAGGCAACATGACTGAAAAAAAAAAAAACCTTCAGAAAGATCCTTGGATGATCTTTGACCTGCTAGATAGTCGGAGAGAAGGAAGGACTTGGGGAGGGGGGATTGTCTGTGCATGTATGGTATGTACGCAGGTATGTGTATGGCTAAGGGTAGGAAACCAGTGTGGAGCTCAAAGCATGAGCTAAGGATCATTTTCACCAGAATCCCCGCAGTAGGCCTTTAGAAAGGCAGGTTCCTCAGCCCTGCTTTTGAATTGAGGATTCTGACTGTCTAAGGCTATGGCCTCGGCCTGCATCTCAAAGACAATGAGCTTCTCTGATCATTGTGGTGTACAATATAGTTTGAGAACCACATGATTGGGAGGAGAATGAGCTAAACCTCAGAAAGACAGAGATATATGCTTTCTTGCTGTTGCCTGCTTCTATCATGTGGGCTTCTTACAATTCCTGGTTTTCCACATTTTTGGATTTCAGAGAATTTGTCCTTGCTGTCCCTTCTTCATCTTGCCCCTTGGAGAGTCTTTCATTATCTTGTTAAATATCTGCTCAAGACTTACTTCATCTGTGGGGTTTTTCCCAACCCACTCAGGCAGAGTGTACAGGTATGCATGAAGGTGCTTATTTATAGCCTTCTCGAATACTACTAATGATGATGATGATAATGACAACTAAAATATATTGAGTGCCTTGGTGGTGTTAATTACTTTATGCATGATCTTATTTATTTCTTGCCACCATGCTGTGAGGTGGGCATTAATCTTGTGTCATAGGAGAATAAATTCCCCCAAGCTGCTAAGTGGAGAAAACAGGGGTTAAAACAAGCAATTGTTCCAGAGATGATTTAAGGCAGCTCCTAGTGCAAAAATCCAACATGACAATATTTTTAAAGGAGGTGAAAGAAGAAAGATAAACAAAACTGGGAAGATAAAATAGTTTCAGGAACAGAGCAATCATAAAAATCCTAGAAGCTCCCTTGTCTATTCTCACAGATGCCTCAGTTTTCATGTGAGGTGTTAATTATTTCCTTAAAGAAAAGAAATAACACACACTTGGATGTGCAGCAATGGCTCTGCTGTGCTGGGAACCTGTCATGGAAATCTATATGGCCAGGAATTGCTCTCCTGGACAAATGCCAGTTGATTAATTTTAATTAAGAAATGAACAGTCATATAGACCAGAATATGAGGAAACCTTATGGCCAAGCCCTTCTCTCCCAAGGGCAGACTTATAGGACAGCCACAGTGTAATTGGGTTTCTTGGCAAGCTTGTGACTATTAAGGAAGTCACGTGACTCCAGGCTAGGACGGACCAAGCTGCATGCGTTTCCTCTCTGCTCTACAACATGTCATGTTCCTGTTTTGGATCTCCCACGTGTGCAACAGTACCTGGTACACAGAGATGCTCAGTAAATATTTACTGAGATCCATCTCAACATAATGATGATTTTTACTAAGGCTCAATAGTTTCTCCACTTCTCTTCCTCTCTTCTGGAGCATCAGAAGAGCATGTGCTATGCCAAACATGGCATCCTGTTTAGAGGGTGAGCGTAGTGCTGGCTGGATCAAATAAGATCTTGGGCAAAGAGCGTACCCTGAGAATATCCCAGTCTCTGTCACAATGCAATGTCAAGTATCTAGCTCCATACTGCCTCTAGGAACATTGACTATCGTCTCCTGATACTCACACTGTGATTCATGGGCAAAGCAATAGGATTTTTGTTTGTTTTATAATGCATGGTCTTGTTGTGTATTTCAGGCTGGCCACAAACTGGCAATGCACCTATGTCAGCTTCATGAGTGCTGGGATTACAGGCATGAACCATCAGGATAAACCAGCCATAAGAGTTGAAGTAGAATGGTTGCAATTCTTTTTTAAAAAATTGCTTTGTCAAATGGCATGGTGAGGTTTTGTTCTCTTGTCTGAGAAATGGGTGCCTGTGATATTTCACAGGTTTCTTGTGACACTGCACTGAGCTAGATGGATGTGCATGTGGCTTCTTGGACCACTTCTCTAAATCTTCTTGAGGGCAGGTCCTGGGTTTTAGACATCTCTGCCTGCTCCAGGATTGGGGGTCAGGTAGGGAACACAAGGAAGAAGCACATATGAAGGAACGTGAGCAGTCTTCAACCTCTTCCTCCCAGCTGCTTCCAATCATGGGACCGGCGTTGAACAACCCACCTGCTTTCATCCACCAATAGATTTAACCTGATTTGTTTTTGTGAGTTTGAGGTCTATTCCTAGCCCAAACCCAATCATGTTGAGGGGAATTTAGAAAAGACTTAAGATGCAGAAAAAGAGCAGGGTCAGGGTCCAGAGTTAACTTAATACATGTGTAGGAGTGTCTTGGTGTGGTTGAGGTTTACCTGACGTGAGTCCAGAAAATGAACTTTTATACTATCTGCATGAGCCTATTTATCTTTCCAAAGCTTCTGAACTTTCCACTATTACTCAGGGCTGCTCACCCCACCTTTCTTACTACAGGGCCCCCTCTGTGTGCTAGGGGAATTGGGAGAGGGGACAGGCTATGGAAATGGAAGGAAAGGGCAGGCTGTTTATATCACAAGTTCCAAGATCCCTGATGGGGCCCCTCCCCTATCAGCCTTATTCCTTCTAATGCCAGGGATATTTAGTCCAATCAGAGCCTTGCAATCCAGGTTGTGTAAGACAGCTTTCATCTCCCACCTTGGTGGGAAGGAAGAATGGAGTGTCTTTTCTTCATGGCTCTCATTGTCATCATTGTAACAGTATCAGCATCATTACCAGCAGCAGCAGCAGCAACAGCAACAGCAATACATCACCCTAGTTCCTTCTACCCCCACTGCTGTTATCCATTTCTTCCTCCTCCTTTATCTCCGTCACCACAGCCCCACTGCCACCACCATCAAATGATCATCACTGCCATCAGCGCCCCCATCAACACTCGAGCCATCATCCTCATCATCATTGTATAAAACCCCTTGGAGTACGACTGCCATTCTCCATGCTCTGTGCACAGAGCTGTCATTTCAATGACTTCTTACTATAATTATGGGGTAGGTATTACTTTTGTCTCTTCCCTACCCCAAGAAGAAACCAAGGCACTGAGAAGTGAAACAATCTGCCCCAGATCATGGAGACCGGCATTGACAGCAATTAAACCTAACTCAAGTTCTATGCTTGGAACCCTATAATCTCCTTCAGACTCTCTTAGCTTCTGAAGATATAAGAACTGAGAGCTTTCTCTTTGGATCAATGGAAAGATAAAGGTTTGAAAAGATGGATGGGTTTGGGGGATTATGGTAGGAAGGGAAAGAGTCCAAAAGAGATGGCTCAGAGAAGATAGCCAGGAGTAAATCATATCAATTAGCGTTATTATTTTTGTCTATTGTTCTCAGTCATTGAGCATCCACACGTATTTTCAGTGTATAAACAGTATCTGCCAACTAGAGGCACAGAGTTGAATATGTGATCGAATGAACACATGATCTGGTGAGTGGAGGTATGTGTGTGTTCACCAGTAGATGAGCAAGCAGTAGATTCTGCATTTCTTCATGTACAGCCTCCTCTCCAGAGTTTTTAATATGTCTAATATTTTAATATTTCTGTCTGTACATCAGACAGCCAGGATGTACTAGGCACCAATGACTTTAGAGTCTTAGCAGGGTAGGTAGGAAGACAGCAATGCTATCTTACTTTACAATGACAGATTTCTGCAAACTCTGTGTATATATGCTGCAAAGGTTTACTTTTCAATGTGTAGAATGGTCCTGAAATTCATGCAGCTAAATTTAACCACATTAGTTATGTGAATTGGACAGTGATGACATCTCTGGGCCATAGCTCCATCTGCAACATGGTGAAAGAATTTACCTTCTTAGAGTTTGAGAACCCGGTGAGAAGGCAGACAAGGAAGTGTCCAAGCAAACACATCATATCATAATCTGTCAATGATCATGTCCCCTTCCTATAGTCAACTCCTTCCAATTTCATTCTTCTCTTCTCTCCTTCTCCTTTTCCTCATCTCCCTCTTCATCTACCTCCACTTCTTTCTCTTTTTTTCTTTTTTCTCTTCTTTCATTCTGCTTTTATTTTTAAATTTCAGAAGCCAAAGGCTCAACTACGTAGATGAATTATATGCTTCTGAGGATGGAGGCTGCATCTTGTATTGTGGAGGTCTCTTGATCTCTCTGAGCCAGAGGCACCACAGGAGCTGACAGGACGTTCTCGTCAGGAGTGGACGGAGGACTGTTCCTTCTCCTGGTTACAAGCAAGCCAAGCTGGATCTCACAGCAAGATCCAAGCCCTTCGCATTGAAGGGTTGCAAGCCAGCAAGCTCCCGGGCCATACAATCCACAGAAATGTTTGCTTTGGCACATACATGTGCTAGAAAAGGTCAAAATTAGTTTGCCAATATTAAAAGCAAAGAAAGAGACTTCAAATTTGAAAAACTCCAGATTTACTGTGCTCAAGGAAAAAAAAAATAGAAAACATGGTCACACTAGGCCCACATTTCCACATTGCTGCCCTTGGCTAGAGCTGTCTGCCTGCTATTGGGAATAGCCAAAAAAGAAAAAAAATAAGATGTTTTTCATATTTCACCACAGTTCCTACCAATCTCTGAGGTCTCTCAAGTACCAAGCCCTGAAGAATATTTCTACCTATACTTGAGTTTGCATCTCCTTCTTTAGTCCAAAACAGAAAGAAGTGTTTTTGGTTTTTTTTTTTTTGGTAGCTTTTTTGTCTTTCAAAATGTATGTATGAGGAGGGGGACTGAGAGTGGGCTAACCTAGCAAAAACAAGCAAAGAATGGATATAGTGTTTTTCTTGGTGTAAGTTAAAAATATGCCTATGTAAGAGGCTCATGAGGCATTTGCACTGATTTCAGTTACAAGAAGCTAAAAATAAGCAAAACTAATCTATAGAGATAGAGACCAAAACACTGGTTACCTTGGTGATGGAGGCATGGCCTGGCAGGGGGAGGGGAGGATTCCCTGTGAGACAGAAGGGTTCAAATTCTGATATGGTAGTGTGCTCAGAAGCATATATATATGTGTGTGTGTATATATATATATATATACACATATATATGCAGATATAATATATACATGTATATAAGAACTTTAGACATAAGCTGTATGCTTCACATTAGCATGGAAGTTATATTTCAGGAAAGCAAAAGAAGTTACTCTGTAGTTTTATTTAAGTTGGGTATAGGCATATAGGTGTATTATCTCTTTCTGTCAGTTTTTCTGATGTTATAACTATTAGCATTGGTAAGATATACAGGTATTTAATAAATAGGATAATAAGCTTATCTATCACACCTGTTTGAATGTGACACCTAACAAAGGCCAAGTTCTTCTTTCATAAATGAGCAAGCTGTCCTAGAGAAGCAATCACATTTGTCCCCAGAAACCACAGCAGGAAGGACCAATGGTTTGGACTAGAATCTTGGCCATCTGCTCTGGCAATCATGATTATTTCCTGAATAGCTTACTTACTGTGTGCTGGGCAGAAGGAGGTAAATAAGATGACTGTGGTCCTTCCCACAAGGGCTCACTGTTCTAATGTGACAATCACAATTCATAATCCTGACCTCATGTAGACAGTCACTCATCTATCCGGGCCTGTGGCTATGTGGAAAGTCTTAAGAGAGAGTCCATCATGGGTAAGTGTCATGGTGGGCTGCAGGTCCAGTCCACACTGACTGGACAGTACTACGTGTCTGTGTCTTTCCACCTTTGTGTTCAGGGATGAGTTGTGTGAATATTTACACCATGGAAATTGGCAGATGCTACAAATCAGAGGGGATTTTGTGTGTGTGTGGTGTGTGTGTGTGTGTGTGTGTGCGTGCGCATGCACGCGCGCGATGGTAGTTGTTTAAAATTTTGGAGCCATCAGTCTAAGGGGGGCTTCAGTAGGGTGGGAGCTGGAGTAACTATCATGTTAAGCTGGCCCAGGGAAGGTGAGTGATGTCTCCCTTCACTGTCTTATGCAAGTGGCTAAGATGTTAATATGTATGGGGGGAGGGATGGTGGGGAGGAGGAGGACAGGGGAGGGTGTGAGCAATGGAGCAAGGAATTGGAAGTCCTGGCTCACAGCAGGCATCCTTTAAGTGTTGCTCTAGCACAAAGGTAGCCAGCTTTGGACCTGAGCCACCTCCTGGCCATTGCCCTCTCACTGGAGCTAGAAGGTCCCTGAGAAGGCAGCGTAGCTGTCCAGAGGCTCCAGGGGGCTGGGGGCGCTGGGCGTACCTTACACCAGCAGTCTACTTTGCAGCTCTCCCTGGCTCTACTGCCTTATTCCTGGAAACCATCAATCTATGCCCTTCGCCCTCCTCCCTTTCTCTACATTTTTTTTCTTTCCTCCTGGATAATGAGGCCTCCAGAGACTGGTGGAGGTCTGAACCTCGTTATGGCTTTCTCTCAGTAGACCAGCATCAATAAAGGCAGGCAGGCTAGGGATCTGGGTGGGGGTTGGGAAGGGACAGGCAGCGGGTGGGTGACTGTGGGGGTGGGCGGCTTGCAGCCTTTCAAATCCCCCGGATTTATTTCACAGTGAATTATAACTGAACTCTTTAGTGCCCCGGGGCTCACAAAGAGAAAGGGGGTGGGTGGGAATTCACTTAAAGAGTGTAAGAAGCCTCACATGGAAGCTGGGCCTGGCCAACAAGAGCCTGGGTCCTGGAGCAGCCTGGTGATTTCTTAGATCACCCCTGTGAGTGAGTGACACTCATCCATCCTGGGGCGAAAGGGAGGTGGGTGGGTAGAGGGAGATGGAATGAATTGCCAATCGTGAGTCCAGCTTGGTAGGCCTAGCTGTCACACGTGACCCTGGCCTGCCATCCTGCCCCCCTCAGTAGGAACTACCTTCACAGAAGGGTTTCTGCTTGGTGCTCTGTAGCTGCCTTGAGAGTCTGACACTGGCTCTGTCTGCTCCTGAGAGTGCTTCACACATCCACGTGCCTGGGGACTTGGGGGCAAATCTGTGTGGGGTTGCAGAGCTAGGAATGAGGAAAGGCACCTTGAGCTGAAAGAGCCTGAAGTTAGGAAAGCAGGCTGTGGGAAAGTGTGGCTGGGGAGGAAATCCCAAACAGAGGCTGGTGGGGACGGAAGCCGAACAAGGTGTATCGGTGGGGAGAGAAAAATAGAGAGTAGAAAAGCAAATCGTAGGATAAAAGGAAATGAAGTTGGAGAGAGACAAAGAGAAAGAAAAAAGACAGCCGTAGAAGAGCAAGTGGAAAAGGGATGGAGGAGAGGGGAAGGTTAGGGTAGGGGCAGAGGGGTTCTGCCAATTCCACATGCCCAAAGCGCTGAGTAAGCCCTCCCAGCCCTGCCCTCAACTCATCTGAGAAACTATACACCCTGTATCAGGTTCTGCTCAGCTATCCTGAGCTCGATCTGCAACAAGCGGGCAGATGATAGCTGCTCCCCCCAGGCAGAAAGGCTAGTAGTGGACAGACATACAGAGGAACCTCGCCTGCCCACGCCGTTGCTCCTATCTTCTCTGGGTTCACTAAGGTGAAGAATCAGAGCAGGATACTCAGGAGCTGTGCTGTTCTGGGGAACTAGAGTCCCATATTTGCTCTGAGCATGGGGGTGAGAGGGGGTAGGGAAGGGGGGAGAAAGAAAGGGGCCAACTGATTATAGAACACAGGAAAAGAGAAAATGTCCAACCTCAAAGTCAAGGCTAGGTCCTCTAGAGTCATCTTGCACCATGGCAGTGGACAGGGTGTGGACTCAGGTTTGGGTCCAAGCTATCATCAGGCTGTGTCTAAGATTTTTCTGTCCATGACCCTAACCTTCCCCACCACCTACCATGGTTGAAAGTCTATGTATGATCTCACATGCCAAGTGCCAGGCCCCTGAGCAGAGTACGTGCTCCATCAACACTAAATGTGACTTGTTACCCTGTAGTTAATAGCACACATCATTGTTTCTACGAAATAAGTATGGAAAAAGATTCTAGATAGCCAGCCCAGCTTTACCACAGAGAATGCAAATAACCCCATCCTCCTGAGTGTAGTCTTTATGGTCAGACAGACACTAGTCTGTGATCTGTTTTGTGGCTCCTATTTATGTGTTCTCAGTGCCTTCATGTCCTCACCTTGTAAACGAGGACATCAGGATTAAATTCTCTGCGGTCATCACCATTCAGTGGGACAATAAATTAACAAGCTCTTGGCACAAGATTGGATGAGATATCCGGAGAAATCATTTGTGAATAAGTCCCGCCCACGCAGGCAGGTATGCTGATTAAATGAGATTAATATAGGCCAAGGGATGAATTAGGGCTCCGATCTATTACATGCTTAGCAGCCACATTTTCTTCTGCTTTATCTGTAGGTGGGTAGTCCTGGTCACTCACCTCCACGCGTGTAGGGTTCATCCAGTGGGGGATGTCACGCACAGTTACGTTCACCGGCAGGATGATGGACTCGCTGTTGTGGTCCAGGCACGAGGTGGTACACTCTGCCCCTGAGGAGAAGCATGTACAAGATGGTGGATCAAGCTGGGCATTGGTGGCTCACACTTGTAATCCTAGCTACTTAGCAGGCTGAGATCTGAGAATCACGGTTCAAAGCCATCCCAGGTAGGAGAGTCTGTGAGACTCTTATCTCTAATTACCACCAGAAAACCAGAAGTAGTACGATGGCTCAAAGTGGTAGAGTGCTAGCCTTGAAGAAAAGAACGCAAAGACAGAACCTAGGCTCTAAGTTCAAGCCCCACGACTGACAAAAAAAAAAAAAAAAAGATAGTGGTTCAGCTCCCATTGTCCACAAGTTGCCCTTCCTCAAGGTGAAGCCTGCTGTGAGCTGATGCCAATGGACTCAACTTAGGTGTCCCAACCTTAGTGCTCTCTTGGCAGGCCTACCTAGGGTCTTCCTGATTCCATTCACTTGTCTTCAGGACAGGTGACAGCCAGTGCCACAGGTTTCTCCTCTCCAAAACTTTTCCAGTGACACTCCTCTCCCTTTCCCTCCCCCCCCCCGCTCCCTCTCCCTCCCCCCAGCCCCGGCCCCACACCCATTCAGGACCAAGTCAGCTTGCCTGCATCCTCACCTGTAGTGCTTCCCATGGTCTGGTTAATCTTTCCACTCACCACCCTCATGCTTTGGTTGGTGCAATGGAACTGGGCTATGCTTGGCTTTCCATGAGCCCCACTCTTTCCCATCTCCAACAGAAATTCTCATTCACCTCAGATCTCCCCATCTACCTTCTCATGACCAGATCCTATCAGTTCTTCAAGGCACAAATCAAGCGCTCCAAACAGCTGCCTTGTCTCGGCAGTTGACTGAGCACTCCCCCTCCAAATGCCTATTGCCTTGGCTCTACTTCTGTGAGGGCACTGATGGGCCTCCCTCCAGTGGACCTTCCCTGCTGTGCCTTGTCTACACAGTTAGTGTTGCCCTTGGAAGACAAGATTACAGGATGAGAGCAATACATGCATGTAACGCCAGCTTCTTCATCCCACACTTTCCCCTCCACTATGTTTCAGCCCCTGCAAAATCGCCTGAGACTTCCAGACTCTGCTCCTAGCACATTATTAATGACCCTCAATCTCCATCCAAGTGTCACTTGTTCAGGAAATACCCCTGGTTTCCAGATTTGCCAAAACCCTCATAGGAAGCCATCCTGGTATCTGTCACATTCTGACATTTCTCTACGTGGAATTCCACGGGGCCAGCACTGTCTCTGCTCCCCATACTGTGCGGAGAACCTGCAGCTAGGTATGGCAGATGCAGGCACTCAATAGGTGAAAGCTGCGAAATGAGTGAGACAATGCCGTTGAGTGTGCAAATGGATGAGGACGAGACAGTGTCATCACACCTGCTTCGTAGATGAGGACGCCTAAAGGCATAGAGCTGACCAGCCGAGAGCCGCAGGTGCCTCCTGGCTTCAAGGAGGGAAAGGTATAGCCATACAGAGAGAAGAGAGGGGAAGGGTAGGACACAGAGACGGATGAAGGACCAGAGGAGAGAAAGGAAATGGAAGGAACACAAGAAGACAAAAAAAAGGTGAGTAATGAGAATAAGGGGAAACCACTACTGAGCAGTCAGAGAAATGTAGCACTGAGTGTGCTGTCACGGGGACCGGTTCTAAAGTGTTTAGGGAGCAAAAATGAAACAAGGTGGTGAGTGAAGAGGATAGAATTCTTTTGTGGAGAAAAAAAAAGAGATGTATCTTCTAAATGATAAAGGTTGCCTTATTCTAAGAGATGGCGGAGGGGGAGGGGTTGAAAGAAGAGAAAACACGGTGGAAACAGGTGGTATAGCTGTCCTAGATGGGAGCCCTTCATCCCTCTCTGGTCTCCTTCCTCCTCCAGGCCTTGTTCTAAGGCATCAGGACCAAGGCTGCTATGTTGTGATATATGAGCCATAATTGGCACCATTACAGAATGGTGATCTCACCAGCTCCCCCTCCCCCCTGGCCACACACACACACACACACACACACACACACACACACACACACACACACACACACACACACAGAGGCAGTAGTAGCAGGGACTTTCTGAGGGCTCATAACTGCCACCCAAGGCTGTCTGGTGCCTCCAGACCCCTAGCCTGATACATACCTTGCCTGCTTACAAGGTCTCTGATTAAACCCCTCTTCCTGGTAAAGGGGGCTCCCTCCACCCAAGGAAGGGTTGAGGAGGTATGTTTAGAGGTGAAGGAGGAGTGGGGAGGGCTACTTGTTTTTCCTCCTTTATTCTCTCTGTCCCCCTTTTCACCCTCTGACTCTTTTCCTCTCTCTCACCCTCCCTCCCTGCCCCCTCTCTCTCCATCTCTTCTCTACCCAGCACCCATCCTGGGTTATCATATTCATGGGATAGAAGTCCAGGTAGCCTTGGTTGGAAACATGGCACCAGGGCTAGGTTCCAACATGGGGTTCCAACATCGTACAGATTTCAGTGAGTAAAAGCATGCCACCATGACCCACTCTGCCCATCTCTCGAGACTATTCTAAAACACATGTGTTTGGTGTCATGCACACCCATGACCAAGGATGCAGAGGGAAAGTCTTGGCTTTGGAATGGAGTAGCCCATACTGCTCACCATGGCAACACCCCAAACTTTCTAGAATGCCAGTGCTGCCGGGGCCCTATGATAGGAGGATCTCTTTTTTCCATGACTCGCCTGAGAAGGGGGGGAGGGTCCTATGTATTGGTGGCTTTATAAAATCATAAAATTCACTCTGCATAGTCCGAATTAACATGCACTTTGATATTCTTACCCTGGCTAGGAGCACATGCCCTGGACTAAAGGGAATGGTGTTGCTTCCTGTTCTGCCTTTAGAGGAAAAACTTCTGCTCTCTGAGCTTCTGTGGTTCCATCTTCAAGCATTGGTGATAAGTCTCCAGGCACCTCTGCTCTCTCATTACAGGCCTCTCCTCTTGGACACACAGTGACAACACTGGGTGTGCTCAGTAAAGAGGATGCTAGCTCCATGCATGCTCAGATAACCTTTTATGCCAGACAGCACTCGGGATTGCCCCATAAATCACGCTGAGCATGAGAAAGGACATTCAATTCCCTGGGCTCTTCATCATGATCAATTAGGGAATCAGCTCAAGAGGTCAACATTTCTGCCCTTCAATAAGGGTCAGATTTCATGGGCTTTGAGTTTCCCCAGAGAACGGAGGAGCTGGTGATGAATGCATCTTGTCCCAGGGCCTGGTTTTGACCAAGAAAAGCCCTGGCATTGGGCCCTAGCTTGTTCCCCCCCTCCCCCTCCCCAATTCTTGATCTGGCTATCACAACACAGACAGAATTTTGAAAATGCTGGTTTTCCTCCTCTAGAGGCAGCTGAAATGCCATGGAAAGAAGGCAGGCTCTGGAGTAGGCTAAGTCTCAGGACCTGGGGCAAGTTCCTGGCTAGATACAAGCCAGGTACCCACGGATGCATAGTATGATGCAACTTCTGTGATTAATAGTAGCAGTCTCCTTCCTCCTCCAGGATCACCCTGGATGCTGACCTAAATGTGATAGGCACAAGGCATATGTCTGCTCTTTGGTAGCATGGTCCCCTCTCCTCCCCTATACTCCTTTTCTCTCTTCTTCTCTCCTCTCCTTCTTCCCTCCTCCCCTTTTCTTTTTCTCTTGATCCTGTGATCCCTCTCCCTCTCCCTCTCCCTCTCTCTCCTCCTTCTTCTCTCCTTCATTCCTTCCCTCCCTCCCTCCCTCCTCCCTCTCTCTCTCTCTTTTCCCTCACTATTTTTTGCCTGACAACCTGTTTCAAACCCCTAGTAAACACTGCTTCCTCTGGGAGCCTTCTGTGTCCTGCTAGATAACCAGTAGCTTTCCTGTACAAAACCATCCATATTTGCCCACATGCCTTCAACGAACATCCCTTCCTTGAACCTCTGCCCTTCCCATGCACCTCTCTGCTCCACTCCCACCCCCACAGAACAGCGACCATCCCAGTCTCCTTCTGCTCTGTCTCCCACCTGCCTATGCAAGGGCTTCGCATGGTCCACCTGCTTTCCTGGGTAGATGTCCCCCCGACCACTGCTTCCCATACCCTCCTGGGCCTATCATACCTATGGCATAGCCATCACGGCACTGCAACTTGAGGTTGCTGTTGAGCTGGTTTGGAGCCGAGCACTGGCCTTGCATCTCCGGGCAGACATAGAAGGAGCCACTCCAGGTACCATCTTTCCGGCAGTGAATGATGTTGCTTCCTTGTCCCTGAACATCACAGATACACAGTTAGGACCAGGACAGACCCAACAAGACAGACACACAGTCAGGACCAAGACAGATCCCATCTGCCAACAAGACCCGCCTGTCTCTCAGAAGGAGAGTGAACAATTTCTCATTTCTCCACAGCTCTGGAATCACTCCAAAATAATTAGTTGACAATGTCTGAAACTCAGTCATCTTGAAAAATATGTATTTTTTTTTTTTGGTAGCTCTACAGATGAAGAAGCTGAGGAGGACTCAGAACAGGAAGAAACTTGCTCCAGAATGCTCAGACAATGTAACGCCCAGTTTCCCTAATTCTTAGTTTAGAAGTCTTTCAGAAATTTCAATCAGAGCCATCACAGCTTGATTTGTGTTGCTTGTTATTGTTGTTGTTGTTTGAGATAGTAAGAGCCTGTCCAGTCCTGTACTTATAGAGATGGCAAGCATGTGTGTCCTGAGGCTGATCATTAGGAGATATATACACACCAAAGCTTGTACCCTTATAGCTCATGAGGAAACACCTTAGGTCCTGATTCTGCCTGACATGCTCAAGTGTGAAACTCTGCCTTCCAAGGGCTTCTCTCTTCCCTGTCCTTCCCTTTACTTCTAGTAATAATGGACAAGAGGCCAGTATGAGGATATTTCTATCTTCCCCTCACAATTCTTTGAGATGAGCGACACATTCTATCTTGGTCTTCTGCAAAGTAGTAGGCAAAGGCAGCTTGAAGACAAAGGCCCTTCTTCCAAGACCCTGCCAGCCTGCAAGACGCCAACACATATATTTCAGAATCGCCTCTGAATTCAAAAATGTCTCTTTCGTGTCCACTGTGTGCCCAGTTTTGTGGAAAACCAGCATGTGTCTTATGAGCCGGTGGAAAGGCAGTCCTGAGAGCAGTCGTGTATGTGATTGCTCACGGAGAAAAGGCAAAGATGGTCCTAGGGCCATGAGTACTGGGAAAGACGGTGGTGGTACAACCCAGGAAGGCCTCTCAGAGGAGGTGATTTACAGAAGCGTCTTCAGGGATAGAGAGTTCACAGACAGACACAGAATGGTGGGACATGCCTAGAAGACAGAAGGGCTTGTACAAACGCAAGTCCATACAGTGAACACAGGAAAGGCAGGTATGTTCCTGGTTCTCTGCCTCCAGGGAAGAAGGCAGCAGATGGTAGAGCAAAGGATTATGGGGTACTTATATGCTAGCTTCAGGAGAGCAGTCTCTACCTGAAGGAAATGGAGAATCATGGATGCTTTCAGTGCAGGCAGGGGTCTATCTGCTGAGAGATCTCAGAAGAAGTTATATATTCATTATATATTCACCTTCTTCTGTGAGGCTTCAAATAAGACAAGAATGTTCATGTGAGGCTGGAGAGGCAGACCATACCCCACCAATAAGAAACACCAGGGAGTAGCTACCTATGATCTTCAGCTTCTATTCAGCCACCTACGTGTGCCCTGCAAACCTTCCTCCCCCACCCCCAGCCTCACTTCTGCTTGGTTCTCTAAGTTCCTGGCTGGCCACAGCACTATCACGAACCCTGAACTTTAGTTTCAACTTCCTTCAGTCCTAAAGCCTCCTGTTTCCTGCTTTTAGGCTTGCTCCCCATCCCCCACCCAGTCCTCTTCTCTTTTTCCTCACTTCCCTGTACTTGGTAAACAGAAGATCTGGCACACCCATTGCTGACCTAATTTCATCCAGATTCTGCACAATGCATTGCCTCAAAGTCTTGGACATGGTGGTTACCTGACTTTACCGTTTTTTCCCTAGCTAGTCAAGGGTGTTTTACTTCTACTCATCTTTCATTATCTTTAAGTAGTTGTACAAAGAAGTTGCCATTGAACAAAGCAGTTTTTGAACATCAGTGTCACCCCTTTTGACATTTTCACCCATCCCTCCCTTCCTCACCTTTCCCTTACTCCTCTTAATTTCGTAGGATAGGCATTGAATTCTTGGCTGCCTTCTCTCCACTCTTCTCCTATAAAGCCTGGATGGTGTCTCCTTCATCCTCTCCAGAAGTGCCTTCTACCATGCCTAGCCATTGGTCCATTCATCTCCCCATAGATATTTTTGTTTATTCAAGAATTGGCTCTCTAATCAATGATGGTAAGAATAAGTGGAGAGTGATTTTTGTGTGTGTATGTCAGTCATGGGTCTTTAACTCTGGGCCTGGGCACTGTCTCTCAGCTCTTCAGCTCAAGGCTAGTGCTCTACCAGTTGAGCCACAGCACCACTTCTGGTTTTCTGGTGGTTAATTGGAGCTAAGAGTCTCACAGACTTTCTTGCCTGGGCTGGCTTGAATTGTGATCCTCAGATCTCAGCCTCCTGAGTAGCTAGGATTATAGGTGTGAGCCACGGGTGCCCAGCTCTGATGATTTTTTTTTCTAAAGAAAATAAACAAATGCACAGTCGAGGAAATCAATGGAGAAATTAATGAGGAAATATGTGGTGAGGATGAATTGAATATAATCTGTAAGAGGCTGATTCAGGCTGAAATGCCCTGACTGAGAAAACAGCTGCAAGAAGACAGGATTGAGAGGAGAAGGGGGGCCTCTCTCTCAGTTTCTTCCAGGCCAGCAGGAGAAGGGTGACATTGCAGGAGGGAGGGGGGAAAACACTGTCTGCTAGCCAGGGGAGGTCACCTACACTGAACACCCAGCTATGGGATAACTCACAAAGTCACTTTCTGTGTCTTGACGTGAGCTAGTGGTAAACTTATACAGCTTTATGTGTTTTTGTGTGTGTGTGAACCCAGACTCTCCCTCTTCGAGCCCCAGGCTCCAGGCCCCATGATTCTGCTGGGCCCTCAGGGGAGTAGGAAATTGACCCCAATTTCCTGGAGCCTTGGCCTGGGCCTATGATGCATTTGGCCTCCAGCCGCTGAAGGGCTGCAGACCTCAGCACTCCAAGGGCCAGAGCTGGCTGAGGAGCTAAGTTAGCAGCAGAGAATGTATTAGAACTAGCTGGAGTCTGCTTGGGGAGCCCTAAGGGGGGAAGACACACCACAGAAGGTGGGAGAATAAGGTTTCCAGTCTCTGTCTCTCTCTCCTCCTCCTCCCTCCACACCACACATCTCCCTCCTGTTTGGCTCATCTAGCACTTCATGCTGCAACAATCCAACTTTTAGAAAGTGGGGCATGTTTCTGCTAAGACATCCCAAGCCTTTTAAACAAAACACGATCACAGGCCAGCTCTCCAGGGCTTCTACAATGAAACCTACTGTGACATTGATACCCAACTTCTTGGCCTCTTCTCTGCTGGGCACTGCCCTTGCTTGCCCATCCACACCCCTTTGCCAGTGCTATGCTCTGGGCTTCCAGATACTCAGCTCCTTCTTTGAGATTCGATCCTGGCACCCTCAGCACCTGCCAACCTCATGAGGCAGAGGGGATGCTTGCCTTTGTTGGATCTTGCTTGAGCACACATTGTTTAGCACACAATCTGAGAGGCCTAGGACCTCTTCTGTAGGCATTATCAGGGAACTAAATTCTGCATGCTGAAGTCCAATTTCCTGTCAGAGGACTGAACCCCTCTCGGCGCCTCTGTATCTGAACTTTCTTTTTAAAACTTCCCTACCATTTTAACCAAAAAGGGCCACAGAAAGCCTAAGGCATTAAACAAGTTTTATTATCAAACACTACATGCCCAGTGTTCAAAAAACCATTTTAACAACCAAGTAGAAGGTAAATCATGTCCTTGTTACAGAGTTAAAAACTGAGACTCCGTAAAGAAATGAAGCAAATGAGTTTTAGACCCATGCTGCCCCTCAACTTCTCTACACTCGCATTTCCTTGACTGCTACATAGGTATGGATACTCTCATCTCAAAGAGTTGCCATGAGGACTAAGTGGTCACTGGGAGGAAATATGTAAAGCCTACCCTCCAACCGTCACCATACTGTGCTGTGATTAGCTGAGGTCTTAATGTCTCTGTCTCCAGGGAACTTCAGAACCAAGCCAAGTGGATGCCATGGGGCTTAAATGCAGCCATTCATATGAGTGCTTTGCCTAGCGACTGGAAAGGAGGAGTGGCTCACTGAGATGTAGACGCTGTCAATCATCTGCCTTGATCATCTGTTCCCCACCAACACTCTCAAGTGCAATCTGCTTTCTCCAAGGAAGGTGTAAGGATAAGACAGCCTCAGGAGGGAGAATGAGTAGCAAAGGCATGGAAAGGAATCTCGGCTCTGCTGGTAACTTGTATGAATCTCCTTTCTGGGTTTCAGTGGTTCATCTATAAAATAAGTAAGTGGGTTGCAGTGGGGGTGGTCTGAAGTCCTGCTGGGCTCTATTAGTGTGTGGCTCCGCAATTTTTCTGACATCCTCTAGGCAGCCCTGGATGTTTGTGTACATATTTAACAACTCTAAAATAAGATACGGCCCCTGCCACCCCATGGGAGCTATGATGCATCAGGGCAGAGCCCATAATGGCAAGGCCTAGCTCCTCACTCCAGGTAGCACACAGGTTCTCTTGGCTGCCCTCTATGACCCATCCCTGCAAGGCTCTGGTATGCTGATTCTCTCATCCTTCTTTTCTCTGCTCCTGCTGAGTTGTTGAAATGCATTAGGTGTACTACAGATGTAGTCCAGAAAGCCCCGATCCTCTCCAGCCCCTCCTGTGGTATAGCTCTTCTGCATAACCTGTCTCCATTGCAAAGCTGGCTACTGCCCTGTTACCTGCAAAGCTTCTACAGTGATCCCCTGTCACCTCACTCTGAACTATGTTAGGTCTTAAGGCAATGAGCATTTCTCTCTAGACACCTGGACGCAAAAATCTCCGCCCTTTGCCATCAGGCTACTCTGGAGATGTTTAGGGACAAGGGGGAAGAGTAGGCTGTGGAGTCAGAATACTATCGACTAACTCAGCAACATGGGTAGGAATCTAGCCTCCTGGCTTTCTTTCACATCTATAAGACGGAGATGTCCTTTCTTTTTCATGAGTTTGTTATCAGTTTTCAAATTAAAAGAGTTTGTAATACTAGTTTGACAAACTCCTCATCCCCCCCCTCCCCAAATAAACCCTAAAAGAAAGAAAGCCATTATTAGTTAGGGGCTCTACTTTGGTTAAGAGAGACAGGAATACTATCGATGCTGGAGATAAGTGGCATATGATGCTAAGTATGGTGCTTATATTTAAACTTGGACAAGTACAATTGAATATTTAGTGGCTCTGTCACTCACAGCAACATGTGACTGCAGGCATAGTACAGACACCCACGTGTGGGACTTTCTATCAGGAAGTTATCCTGGATGGGGTTGGTCTAGCTGACCCAGGGAGGAGATGTATTCTACATGTTTATTTGATCAGGTGTCCAGGTTTCACTACAGCTCATAATAGTCTCTCCAACTACACTCTAGCTTTATACCAGATAAGTGCCTGTTCTTAGTTCTCCAACTTTCTGAAGTATCCAGAGGGCCAAATTTCAATCCATTGCCTCTATTTTCACGTCTTCTGGTATTCTACATAGAAAAACCCATTTTGCCCACTGGACTGACCTTAAAAAAAATCTAGTTTGTTGATGTCATCTCTAGGGATGCCATGTCTGGTTGTATAGGCTGTGAATCTTTACCAATAAACTATAAGACAAGTAGCATTATTTTTCCCCTACCCCATTTCACACACAGGGACATTACATTTAAAAAGGTAAGTAACATGCCCTGCCCCCCAGGTAGAGAGTAGTAAAGTCAACATTCCAACTCAGGCTCCAGATCCCAGTATTATATTGGCTCCCACAGAATGAATGAAGTAAAGTGCTTTAAAAAGAAAACTCATTTGGTTTTTGCGGCAGGGGAATGGTGGGGGAGAAGTTTGTGAATCTCCCCTACAATCAGCCCCATCCTTTCCTGCCAAGATCTGGGAACTTGTTTGGAAAGCATAGACTTCCTGCTCTCTGCAGGCTGTTGTTGGATTTAAGATGTTCAGGCTGTAAGTTTCTGCTGTTTATAGGCAGCTAGAGGGGATCTGAGGTGAATACTAGCTTTGGCTCTCAGGCCGCTGGTCTGAGGGTAGAGGAAATTCATTTTTGGTACAAACTAGAAATGTCAATTGTGTTAGGAGCCCATTTGGCACGTGCTCTCTGCTTCTTTGAGCTAGCAAGCCATACCCTGCTTCTTCCAGTCTAGCCTCTACTCTCTCTCCACCAGCTGCCAAACAGCACCGCCCGCCCGCCCGCCCGGCCGAGTCATCTGATAAATTTACATTTTCCTCTCCTTTAAATACAAACTGGCTGTGGAAGTTACTTGGCAGGCTCCGGGGCAGACTGGGTTTCAGTTTGATAACATGACCACAGCCAGAATGTTATTTGGCTGAGCAGTCTGGGTAACTGTTAGCAACAGTTTTATGTAAGGGAGCAAGAGGGGAGTCGATAAGCCTGTGAGAGGCCTTGGTGGTAATCCAGACCTTCACCTATCTGGCACCCAAGCTCCTTCCCTGCCACTCAAGGATGGCAATGTCTCCCAGGGGTGCACACCAGCCTCCGTGAGTGTACACAGACACCTGCCAGTGTGCACTGTGGAGATTTGCACCGGGTGACAGTTGGAGTCACCTGGGCTCTAATTCTGACTCTGCTGATGCCAGCTGTGTTCACCCCAGAGAGGGAACAACATCCCTGAATCTTGGTTTTCTCCTCTGGAAAGTAAGGAGATGGGCTTTATTGTGCATTTCCGCTCTTTCTGGTTCCCTTAACACTAGGCACTTCCTGAGACCCTAGAGGAGGACTTTTAGGTGCCTACCACTGTATAAAGTACTGAAGGTACGGGATGATTGGAGACAGTGAAGGACTTCCCAGGCTAGTGTGAGGGTGAGGAATGGATCGTCAACACACTGACAATGTGATGGTGGACAGTATTGGGCTGATCCTTTGGTGGGGCGCTAAGCCAAGCAGTGGAAGGGATGATGGGGAAGAGATGATGGGAAGGCTTCTGGGATTGGAAGGAAAGAAACAGACAGGTAAGTTGGCTTTACTGGACAGAAGGGGAGAAGCAGAATGCTGTAGGTAGGATCTGGAGTTTTGTCCTAGGGGAAATGAAAGGCTGTTGTGCATGAAGAGCTTATAGCACAAGAACTAATACTACTAGAAGAGAAATGATCAAGGGGCTGCGTGGTAGCTCAGGACAGAGATGATGGGTACCTCCCTGGGCTGAGGCGTGGTGACAGAGAGATCAGAAGGAGCACTTTAGAATATGTTTTGGAGAATGGTATGACTTAGATTGGAGAAAGAGGAGTTGAGGGCAAGAGTTTAGCAGTGGTACCTGGAGGCATAATAAATAATGAAGATGGGAAAGCTCACGGAAGACCAAACTATCACTAGGGCCCAGAGATTCTACTCCAGCCTCAGATGGCAGATGCCTGGCACCCCTGTAAGCCCCAGGACTTGGGTTATTGGTTTTACGTGGTAGGTTCTAAGAAGATGGAGTTTTTGGTAGACTTAGGGCTTCTTTGGGTCTTTTTTCCCCCTACTGCATGAATGTCTACAGACAGGCTGGGTGTAGGAATGTGGGAAAATTCCCTCACAGAGCTCCTTCAGCATAGGCAGGCAGGAGTGCTGGGCTGTTTCTCAGTCACCTGTGGCTTGTGATAAAATTCAAACCCTGCAAGCTCCAGGGGTGCTCCCTTTCTTTTACCACATTCCCAAATCAGCTCTTCTAACCTGACAGGGTCTCCTTTATCTACTTCAAAGCCAATGTGGACTCTGACCATGGCTGCAAAATGGCAAACATTCCACTCACTCCTATCAGAGCAATTGAAGCTATCCATTTCCTATGCTAGGATTTCCTTGACTAACTATGCCATACATAGCTGATGGATTTCAGTGTTCAAATACGTTCAAAGCTAAGGGTCTCTGAACAAACAAAACGTGTTATTACAGGGAGAAAAAACAAAACTTGGAGAGACTGTAGATGGAGCCCAATTTCTTTCTTTCTTGATTATTTTAGGCGTGGGAGAGGGGGAGACAGTATCGCACAATGTAGCCCATGCTGGTATTAAATGTCAGAGCCTTTCACCTCAGCTTCCCATGTGCTGAGATTACAGCTGTGCACCACTATGCTATATTTAGAACCCAGGGTTTTTTTTTTCCCCACTTATGCAGTGATAGCACTGTTATTTTACAACCTGGGTCTGTACAGACAAAATTCTGGAGAGAGCAGTCATTAAGGTCCAGCGTGGTCTTGGGCAAGCAGAAGGGAGGAGATGGGAGGTGTGGCCTCTAGTTGTTCCCAGGTCCCACGGGGTTTACCTGGGAGCTGCTGCTGTCTTCACACTTGATCCTACATTCACTGTTGAACTGGAAGCCATTAGTACACTGGTAGAGCCCGTGGAATTTGGGCGGAGGTGGGTCACATGTAACTGGAACACAAGCTCCCTCCTGCCAGCTGCCATCTTGGGTACACTGAGTCTTGAAAGCCCGTCTTCAAGAAAGAGATAGACCAAAAGATGTCTCAAAGATTAAACAGCTAGGCCCATGCCCATCCCCAAACACTACCAGGTGGCCTCAAATTCTCTTTCTTACCCAGGATTCTCTACATATTCTTTTGAGCGAGGGAATACATGTCAAGATGAGGAAAAGTCGCTCATGCAACTCGATCAGCAGAAGCAGATGGGGATGTGGGACTTCCTCTCAGTTACATGTGGGATGAGACAACTCTCAAGCCCTACCTCCTTCAACCTCTCTTTTCCCTCTGAGGGTGCTCTTGTGACATGAGCAATCACATCAACAATCACGCCGAACATCTATGTTCAAGGCACTGGTTCACCACAACTTTAGGCGATAACTTTGATTGTCTTCCTCATGTTGGTGAAGGCCAGGCAAGTGACGTCACTTGCATGAGAGCGCGCAGCTGATCTGCAGCCAAGCTCACTTTGTTTGATCCACAGCTAACCTTCTGTGGGCGTGGCGCAGAACAGAACGAGAGGAGCAATGGGTCTTGCCTTTAGCACTAAGCCGCAGAAAGTTTCCTCTTGAAGAGGTCTTCCTCTGCTCCACCCCAGAGCCCATGAGTATGCTCCCAGCTCCACTTACTTCTTTGACTTCCGGGAGGGGCCGGGCACGTGGTATCCAGGTTTACACTTGTACTTGCAGAAGGAGCCCACCTTGTGTTTGTTCTCATGACACCTAGGCGTCTGGAGATCTGCGTTGGGGATCGGAGGTGGTGCGAGGCACATGAGCTCACACAGGGCCTCAGGGAAGGACCACAGTCCATCTTCCATACAGGTCAGGAAGCTGTTATTGCCTGGAAAGCACACTGGATTTTTAGCCAACCTGACTCCCCAGTGGAATCCCATCCCATTCTGCTTTCAATCAGAACTCCTAGGGAGCTCATGAGAATGGCCATAAGAGACTGAAAGCAAGGGAGTGAATTACCCCGCTGTTTAAGTGAACTGAAATCCATGTCTTCTGACTTCTGATTCTGAAGCTCTCATGCTATCTATCCTTCCTCACCATCCTCCCATCCACTCCCCTGCCTTCTAGGTGTGCACCCTTGCCCAGGAACAATGAACTTGCTTTCTGGATACTTCCCAGCATACGCTTTTATCAGAATCTACTCCAGGCTCACATAACAGTGTGCTGTGTGACCTTAAATTGCCACTGCTGTCCACCCATTTTCTCCCTTTCCTCACCCCTCCCCATAAGCCTAGGCCTTTGTACTCTCTTCCTCCCCCTCTTTTGCCTGGAAGAGGCAATATCATGCCTCATATCAAGAGGTTTGATTTTTTGTTCCAGGTCCCAGCTCTCAGCGAAACTCTGCCAAAGTTACAGAGGCAACAGCATTTCCGGCTGCCCGTGCCAACTCTGACAGAGTGCTGATGGCCACTGGGATGTACGCCTGATAGGGAAGGTTGCAAATCAAAGCAAAACCCAGGAGTGATGCTTTTTCACCACTAGCTCATATATTATCAAGGCACAGCCTGCCCCAAACTCCCCATGACCATGGGAGGCCCTGGAACGCTGCCTCTCCACGGAACTCTCCTCTATGTTTATTACTGAATCGGGTTGATCACCAAGGCTGGACGCATGTGGGAAGCTCTGGGATTTAAAGGTGGATGGGGTGGAGTGATGGGGGAGGAAACTGACATTTATTGAACAGTGACTGTGCAAACTGTTTCTGATAGTCAAGTTCATTTATTCTTTCCATAAAAGTGTACTTAGCAAGACAATTCTCATCTGGAAAGGGGTTCTCAGAGGAGGTGACTTGAACCAGTTCTTGGCCATAGCAAAAGACAAGAAAAGCCAGGTTCAAAACCAAATTTGTCTAATGACAGAAATGGTTTATGTTCAGTGGGAAGATGTTTAGTAGAGCCTTATTTTACATTGAGGAATAGTCCAAACTCAACTATCCAATCTATAGAAAGGAAAACAACTGCTCTGCCTTCAATGTTGAGAAGATGGAACATATACATGTAACTTATGAAAAAGGTGCACACAGTGGTGTCAAAGCTAGGCATGGTAGTGCCCACCTGTAACCCCAGTACTTGGGAGGCTGAGGTGGAAGGATTGAAAGTTTAAGGTCAGCTTGAGCTCCATACAGAAACCCTGCTTCAAAAGAAAAAGAAAGAAAGAAAAAAGTGTCACCAATGTCCTCATTTGCTTATTAACTAATCTCTTCCTCTTGCCTTTATACTTTCAGGAGCAGGTCTGGAAGGATTACATGAGTTGTGGAGATCATTCATTCATTTAAAAAGCATCTATTTAGTGGTTATTGAGTACTATTTTGTGGTTATTGTTCTTATTGTTGTTGCTTGGGGAACAAATAGTGAACAAAACAAATTAAAAATAAACCTGCTCTCTTGAAGTTTATAATCTACTGGAAGAGAGAACAACATAATTATAAAACAAGTAAATCATTTAGTGTTCTGTAAAGTGACAAGTACAAATAAAACAGGAGAAAAAAGTCAAGAGAGAGGAGGTTTTATAGTATGTCTGCTCTTCCATCTCTCCACCCTTATCCATTTTCTACTCTTTCCTTCCTTGTTTGTGTGATTGACCTGGTTAGATTTAGTATTTCCAAATCCCACAGGGATACACTATGTTACTGCCAGCTATGGCTATTTTCACGTCACATAACAGGAATAAATGATATGGAAGGGTGATTCATTTGGCTTCCCAAGAAGCAAAGAGGTTTCCAGAACACCAGATACTCCACATTTCTTTTGTGCCTGTCAGATCTTGGGACACTAGGGTATATACCTCGAGCTTAGTGGGAAGGGGCCTTGCTCAAGGGGGGATAAATATGGAGAAAGTTTTAGGGTTCTTATCAGAATGTCAGTTTCTGTGTCAGGCAAGCAGGCACATTACAGGTTGTAAAGTGAGATTCACATCTCTTCTGTAGTAAGATAAAATGGACAGAACATGAGCTAGGCATTGGTCGATTCATCCATGCCTTTAGGAGACTGAGATCTGAGAACTGCGGTTCAAAGCCAGCTTGGGCAGAAAACACCAAAAGCTTGCATCCCCAATTAATCAGCAAAATGCTAGACTGGAGGTGTGGCTCAAGTGGTGGAGTACTAGTTGTGAGTGGTAAAGCCAAACAATAACGTAAAGCCTCAATATAAGCACAAAAAGACAAAAATGAAACAAACAAAATAATGACAACTACAACCAAAATAAAAAAAACTCCACTGACCCATTGTAACAATGACATATACAACACACTAGGTTGAAAACGAACTTTACAGTTTGGTGGGGGTGGGGGTGGGGAAGGAGTTGTGAGGGTGGGGGGAAAGGGAAGGTAGGGGAAAACCAAAGGAAGGGGGATAACAATGCTCGATAGAAAATGGACTCATTACCTTGCTCATGTAATTGTAACCCCTCTGTACAGTATCTTTACAATAAAAAATACATACTTAAAAAATTCCACCAGAATGCTAACTAAGAGAGAAAATGCAAACTACAAATGCACATTCGGAGAGACAGTAAACAGGAGTTAGCAAGGTCAAAGGATGAACAAGGCTAAGCAGGAACTGGTGATTCAGGACCATGGAGCTGTCCCCCGACCCCACGGGAGGGAAAGTATCTCATGTAATGCAGACAATGAACACACAGAATCAGTTTCTAGTCTCCTGCTGTGGTACCACCACATCCAACAAGTAACTTTGAAGAAAGTACGGTATGCTGGATGTAGTCTGTACCTATCCCTCTTGCCTTGGTCTTGGTCTCCATGCTCTGAAAGATGCATGCTGCACTGAGGAATCTTCTTGTGGTTTTTGGATATACGTGCCAGGTTTGCAAACTAAAGTACCAGTGTTCCTGAAAGTGGCATTCTGTCAGTGATGGAGATCGGGGGTTCATATGTCAGGTACAGTTTTGATGCTCAGTCATGTTCCATACTGTCCTTCAGACTTCCTAAGAGTGACTGAGCTCCAACTGGCCATCAGTGGTAATTCTATCTCCTCTCCTTATCCCCCTACGCTTTGTGACTCAGGTCACAAAGCAAAAACAAATGTGAGCCTGGAGTTCCTAGCAACGCCAGGGTAAGAGTGCTGGTATTGGATGTTGGATCCCTGCACATCTTAGGTCAGGAAAATGAATGTTCCCCAACCTTCTTTAAATGTAGCTAAGTAAATTTCCGTCTCTAGTGAACAGGAAAACAAGGGTAAACTTCTCATATCAGAAGACTGGTACTTTTTTATTGTTCCACTAAAATATTACCTAGAAGCTCTAGTTTCTGGGAATGCTTTTAAGGTAAGTTCAGGTATTTTATGGAGAAGTAGGTTAGCCATGATCCACAATACTGTACTGAGTATTTCTCGAATACGTAGAAAAGATTTTGAGTGTTCTCAGCACAAAGAAATGATATCTAAAGTGATAAATATGTCACCTAACATGATTTGATCATTACACATCATGTACAAATATCAAAACAACACATTGTTATAGTAAATATTAAAAGTAACATTTCCCAAGAAAGGAAATATGTCTGACCTTCAGTCTGGCTTTCTTAGCATTTTCCCACAAGATGTTGGCAATGCCTTGGTGATAAGATGAAGGGCTGTGTCTTGTGCAATCTCTATTCCCAGCTTCTAGCCTGATGCCCACCACATAGCAGCCCCTCAATTTTTCATTCACTGAATGAATAAAGTATCATGAATCTACTTGTGATCTGGAACAATGCATTTAACATGACTGGCTATCGATAAAAGCAATTTCTGAGCTCTTAACCAGCTCTAAGATTTCAGGATATGAAAGGATATTTGTCATGATATAATTTGAAGAAAATTAAAATTCAGCTCATTTGAATAAGGACAAGCAAGAGTTCAGGAAGCTGCACTAGCTTAAAGCTAGTAAGGGTGGGATTGCAAGGTGGTTCATTTCACTGCAAAGAATAGCTACTAATAAGTTGCAGAAGTTGAAGGAGAGGAGGTATAAATAGGAGAGGTCCAGGTCAGGCAAGAAATGGGGGCACAAAGCATTTTAGGCTGGCCCCTTTTCCCAAAAATAGCCCGTAGCTACTTCAGCTAGCATTTTGAGGTGGAGGAAATCAGAACGAAGCTGAAACAGAAGTAGAGTAATCAAAAGAAGCATGCAGTCCTCTGCCAATTTTCATTCTCAAAGCACCTTGCTAGTCTTCTGGGATCCTGGAACTGTGGAGCACATCTTGCATTGTCCTTGGCATTTTCAGGAAGTATGGTGCTTGCTCAGTAAAATGTTACCACAGTACCAACATGGCTGCATTAGATGGAATGTTCATTGTCCAGATGCTCATTATTACTTTTTTCCTTTTTCTTATTATTGTTTAGTAGCTGCACAAAGGAGTTGCCATTTAACAAAGCAGTTAATGTACAATGTATCTTGAGTGATCAAGATACATTGTACATTCTTACCCATCCTTCCTATCCCTTCCCCATCTTTCCCCTTTCCTCACTCTGCTTAATTTTGTATGATATACATTGGATTCTTGACTGCATTCTCCCCCCTCTTCTCTTCATTCATCTAGCCCTTTCACCCATGACCTGACCCCACCCTACCCCACTCCTTCCTGGGGTTTTATTTTGCTGATCTTTGGTTTTGCCTTTCTAAGAAATTACACTATTTGAGATCTCCCTTGGATCTACTGCATTTCGGTTAATATACTTGTATACATGTGCATACCATAAAACATTTATTGATGAGTTTGCAAGTGAAATCTGCTTCCACATATAAGGGAAAACATGGGTTCTCTCTGGGCCTGACTTACTTCATTTACCATAATTTTTCCCAAATTTTTCCATTTCCTTACAAAGGGCACAATATCAA